ACATATGAAGTTAAGGACATGATGTCCTTAATATTAGCACAGGGGTATTTTTGTCCGGGCGGGTAAAAAATTATTAAGCACCGACTAAAAAGTAAATACAATTTAAACGGTGGCTAACCGTGCACTTCCCCCAAAAATTTAATGCTTTGTTAGTTTTAAATTTAATATATAAAATATATGTTTCATATAAAAATTTATTCGGTACGATTCGATATTTTTTTTATAAAATTTAAACCATCCTATTATTCGGTATAGTTATAAATTTACTTAAAAACTTACTGTTTTATTCATAGAAACTTTATAATCGGTTCAGTATGATTTCCTTCGGTGGGTTTTTAAAAATGCATTGACTGCTACACATTTCCTAGAAAAAGGCAAATTACACTAATAACTAGTAGAGGAAAAAGGGGGAAAAGAAAGGAAAGGAAAATATAGAAGTATAGAAGAGAGTTTGACGTACTGAGAAGAGAAGAGAGGAAATCCATATGATTCAACGCTGCTAAGGAGATTTGTTTGAGTTCTTAGAAATTGATCTCATTTTTTCCTTAAACCTCTCCCCCTCTCTGTCTCTTCTCAATTCTCATATTTATGACCCTAATTTTCTCAGAATTGATCCAGTTTTGAGGTGAATTGCCATTTCCATAATTCAGAAGAATTTCTGAGTTTTTGAAGTTCTAAAACCCCTTCAGGTGCGTTTATTTTTGTTGATTAGATTGATTTGGGTTTCTCTGTTTCTTTTCATTCTTAAATCCGATATTGATTTTTCTCTTCCTACACGCCGGAAAACATGGATGTTATTGATTTGATATTTTGCTATCATTTTTCCCCCAGAAGAAGAGTTAGGTATGTATATACGCATATAGGTCTCTCTGTGTGTGTTTATACTGAAGCTTCGACAAAAAATCTAACTTTTTGACTAATTCCATGTATCTGTTCAATCTAGAAAGTAAGGCAAAAGTTTTTTGATTTCTGTAACCTGTTATTCGGATCAAAACGTGGGTTCAGCATAGCTATATATAGATATGAACAATTCAAAGTTAAAAAGAAAAACAAATACTGACTTCTTCATCAAATTTTGGTGTTGCTGTTTAATATTCGAAATCAGGTGTAAGGTTTTAATTGACTGGAGCTGGGCTAATCGGCAAAAAATGGGAGTACCAGCATTTTATAGG